GGTGAAATCAAACGATGAAGTAAGTTGTTTCAACTGAAGTAAGAGGTAAAAATTTATTTAAACGATCAAGGTTTGATTTTTTGTCGTTTTTGGTGGCTAAAACAATAGTATATTGCCTTATGACGTTAAGTAAGGAGAATTAGAAACGAAGATATTGGAAATTCGTTTACTACCGTATTTGACAGTCAACCTGTATTAATTTGTCATTTTTCAACCCAAGGATTTCAGGCGAGGAAATTCAGGATGCCACTGAAGCTCTACACTGTGGAATTTTAGAGCATCTCAAGTCCAAAAGCTCACTGCCCACTGTCATTTCTTTTAAACATACACATTTTAGTTTTCTTTTTAAAAATAAAGGGAAGAAAAGCAATGACAGTGGGCACATCCTTCTAGAAAAGGAAGATTTTTCAAGATGCCACTTCCCAAACCAGTGGGACATGATTGTTGATGAGTTAGGTGATAGGGCAAAAATTGACTTTCCTGTTAAAGTAAGACTGTTTTTATCTTGGAGTCGAAAAATCATACCATGGCAGGAGAGTCAGTTGCTCCTCTCCCTCGGTACAGGCCCGAGAAATTGAGCCTTTCATTTTGCAAAGGAGCATGTAGCCTGTCCTGAGAAATGATTGAAATGCACATCTGATTTCGTCTATTTTTATATAATATGTATTTACAAGTCTGCCAAATGTGTACATATGTTTGTTGATGATACTGGAGATGGAGTAGAAATTGATTTCCCTTTTTGGTTATTTTTATCATGATAGTATATTATTTTGTAAATGAGTTTAATTATTTTTCACTCTCTTTTCTTCGTTTCTCTTTGATTTCTGTCTCCCAGTAAGCATCATGTTTCTTGGTATATTTCCGTTTAGAATGTTCCCTCTCACGCAGCTGCCATTGTCGAAATTCCAATTGTAAGATATCAGCAGCAGGAGTTCTCTTGTTCGACTTGTGGAGAACAACATTTCTGGCCATGTCATTGTTTTTTTCCACCCCTTGACCAGTAAATGGTTTGACTGATGTGTACTTTTTCATGAAAAGTGGAACATGATAGACAAGTGCATGCATATATGGAGTAACATCTGCCTTTATATAACCAATTAACTTGTCTCGTAGAGATGTAAATAAATTGATCCATGCTTTAGCTTTATCAAAACAAGTGAGGTATGTTGGGATAGAGGGGTTTTCGCTTGTGACTATTTGATAAAGTTCATGAAAGTCTTTCCATATTTTTATAACCGTTTGACTTGTTTCAGGGTGAATACAATTTGACAATTTTTCTGGTATCTCAGCGAGAAGTTTCTTTTTATCAGCTCCAAGTAGGCTAGTGAAATCGTACATTCCTGACCCTTTACCATCTGCATTTGTCTTTTCCCATATTTGAAATGAAATGCCACAGGATCTAATGCTTATTTGCAGATTTTTCAAATGGGTGTCATTTTGGTTAGCTTTTCTCTTGTTGAAATTTTCCTTTTTGTCCCATTCAACTGTTTCCCTCACTAAGTTGTTGATTAGAACATCCATTATATGTAAAAGTAAGTGCAGTTCATCCAAAACTACATGGTCCAGGTCTACTTTTAAAAGTGGTTCATGTTCACATGAGTATTTTTCTGTATTTCCTTTCTTCCTGCCTAATGTAATGACTTCCTGTAGTGTTCTCTTAAGTGGAGATTTATTGTAGTGCTCCAGGTCAAATTCCATATTCCATCTGTTGGTTTTTGCTATCTTGCACCACAGGCATGCATAAATAGATGTGGCACCTTTCATACCAAGCATCAACAACAGAAACTTGTAATCACCACCAAGGAAAAACTCAAGATTAAATGAAGAATTATTTATAGTTAATGGTTGCTTGTCTTGTATTAATTCATTTATTTCATTAAATACTGTTGCGAATGATTCTTGCAAAGTCTGATAGCATTCAGATCCCTTAACAATGGCAACAGTGTGATTACCACCAGCAGACATTACATCATCCTCAGTTTGTAGTAGTGAAAATGAAAGCAAAATGAATGAGGAGTTCTAAGCTCCATCTCCATCTCTAGCTCATTCTAGCTCCATCTCCAGAAATTTTAACTTGTATTGGTTTGTCTGCCCAGTTTTTTCCTTCATCTCTGCTCATCATGTCTACAACTCATGACAACTCGTTCTTTCAAGAGATCAGTAAATGACATTTGAGCACCCTCAGCATTTCCTGGTGTTGGGCTGATGTGGCAAATGTAATTTAGTTGATCTTTCTGTTGCTTGACCAGGTATGATATGAATTTCTTGGCGAAGCTCCTGCACTGACTCAGTCTGTCCTTCAAATATATGAAATCTCTTCTTTTTTGAGTTGAGTTCCTCTTTCCTCCTTGTCCCTTTGGCCTTTGCATATTCACTTTGTACTTTTCCACAAATTTTTCTTAAAGATTCATTAACTTCTAGTCTAATTTTTTCATCATTGCTAATTGCAAATGCATTTCCTGGAACAGAGTAATCAAACAGATCAACATAAGTATAAGATAATTTCATGTTTGACTCATGCATGTGCAAATTTGATGGGGTTGAACAAGATGGTTCTCCATTGCCATAGGTGTGATTTCTATCATTTTTCTGTGTCTTGATAAAATCATGCCACAATTTCAGCAAAGGGTAGGGTACGTCCACAGCTAAGATGATATTCCTTGTCACTGTCTTGGCAGCATAGGCTGAAGAGGGACTTTCAATCCCCAACTTCCATTTTAAAAATGAATCAAATGGAAGTGTTTCAGACATTTTGCAGCGCTGATAACTTCTTTATTATTTTCTTTCCGAGATATTGCTTGAGAAGCTGTTAAAATCTTGTCCAAGTAAGAAGCTTACTATTTTGTTTTTCAAGTCAAATTATTTTCGCGCCAATGCTGCAATCTATGTCAATCTTTGAGCCTTCAGTAGCTGCCCTATAGCGGTATTGTGCATAACAGGCTAGGTTACTATGTTTTTACAAAATGGCGATCGAAGAGTTCTTTGATATGTTTTCAGATCTTATAATTTTAGTTTTTGAGTCAACGTCTCTACTGGGAACAAGACCCATAAGAAAAAAATTTTTTTGGACTTTTGGAAGTCGTTTGGCAGCGTGGATTCACACTTTTATGACTTCAAATAGCCTTCAATTAGAAGGTCGGCTTTCGAAGAGATCGAACAGACGTGGGCAACTGATAAAACAACCCTCGTTGTGGCTGCAGGAGAAGCTTTAGCTGACCAACATAAGCCATTTTAAGACACTTAGGGCACCAAAAAGGTTTAAAGTTTCTTCGACTGGGGCAGATCGTAGCGAAATCGTAAGAGTTTGAGAACGGAGGTGAGTGATCTGGACACTCTTCTAATACATTTCAGACGAGGGCATTTTTAGTACACGCTTCCAGAAAATTACTGTGTCTGATTTTCAAAATTTTCCAACAGAAAGCCTTATGCAGCCGCCATATTTAAACTCCGTAATTTGTCTTTTATGCGCATGCTTAGCCGCCATGATGTCTTCGATTTCTAGCCATGATTTAAATTCACTCGAACTTGTATCGTGACTCGAACTTGACCTGCATTGACCCGAACTTTACTCGGGCTCGAAGTTGACTCGTGAAATGCTATAACTATTATCGTCCAGGGACTTCCCAAAATCACAGTGTGTAGCGGCTTATACTATTTTGCGAAACGAAACGAAACGAAACGAAACGAAATCGGGAGTTACTACATCACGGGCGACGAGCGGGGATAGAAAAAACGACCCAAATATGAGCGATCAGCGGTGAAACAACTTTCATACTTCATATATAGACAGATCATTTGTAGTATCAGGAAACAATCGTGTTGTAAAGCCGAAGTGTAAACAGTTTACTTCGCTAAATAAAATGTTAAGCAATTCAAAAGTGTTGATTGTACATATATCTTTTACTGCTTTAATAAACAATGAAGGCATCGGTGACATCCGAAAGGTACCAAGAAGAATTAAATGTACGTTTTGTAGTTGCAGAAAACAACCGTGTTGTAAAGCCGAAATGTTACCAAGTTACACTTCGCTACTTAAAAAGTTAAGCAATTTTCCTCAAGCTTTAACTGGAACAATACTTTTAGTGCTCTATTAACCAACGGAGGCATCGGGAAAGGCATTGGTGACACCGGGAAAGGCATCAAGAAGAATGATATTCACGTTATGTAACTTGTTGTGTGACGAAAAAAACGTATCTTGACTTGTTCAAAGCATTGAATCACAGTTGGCTTCCTTTTCACTTGAATTTTGTATCCACAGCCTAAGATGAGAAATTTAAAATTTCTATCAGCTGAAGTTCTTTTACTGCATATTATATCTATTCAATCGCCCCCAATTCACGTGGAAAAAAGGCAAGTAGGAAAACACTGAGCTTCGAGAAACAGCCATGTTAAGGCTAATGTATTTACCATTCCTTAAATATTTACAATCAAGACCACTCGTTTAGGAGACCTTTTCTCAAAAGATCCACACGTGTAAATAATGCTGTTTTCCGTTCGAAATGTTTTTCTTCCTATTCAATTGAACAACTGACTTAGCGTTTAAGCCGAGAAAAAAATCACAAAGTTTGAATTCTGGGATGTTGTCCACTTTTGGCTCCATTAAGTTACGATTCTGCACCATTGACGCTCGTGAAAATCTATCTTAATCGACTATCAAGGACTGTATTTCTTATCTTGCAAATTAAGGTCTGTACATGACATTAAGTTCATCATCTGGTTCGTTGTTATAGTCAGCTTTAAAATTTAAACTCTACTTGTGCTGACAAGAAGCCACCCTAAGGGCAGGTGAAATGTTGCATAAGCGTCTCCGCGAAAGGCACATCCAGACAACTTGCATGGAAAAACTGGCCGCAGCTATCGCACCCAAGCCAATCCTCTCCATCGTCGTCTTTGCAAATCTTACAGACCGTGGTATTTCTCTTATAATTGAACAAAAGATATGGGACGTCAAAGAGAGTGTTGCGGCGTTTAAGAAACAATGGTATTTGACACCATCAAAACTTACCAATCAAGGTCATCATAACACGAGCCAAATATGACAGACGTTATTCTTTCCCTTTCCATGTCCACATCGTAACTTCCATTGATATCCAACCCCTCACACAAACACCGAGCAAACTTAAAACAAACAAAGAGAAATTTAATACATTCGAAACCAGGAAGCAGTCCTATTAAAGTGAGCTTTAGCAAGTGATTATGCTACTCACAAGACATACAATCACACCACAGTTATAGCTATCGGTCTGTGTGTAATGTAGTGGTTCAACACATAGCCATGACTTGCAATTCCATCCCGTTTTGAGATCAGCAACGGCACTGCAGAGTCAAACAAAATACAGCAATTACATAAGTATGTTTTGTCTGCATGCATCAAAATAAAAAGGAAAACATTGAGTTGAAAATATTTCACCTGATGTCATCGATCAGTTCTATCAGTTTGCTCTTAGGAACTGAGGTGCTCAAAATGGTGTGTACACGCCCATTCATGGTATCGAAATAATATCTGGTTTTCTACTTTCGATCCAGAACCTTTAAAACATAAGCAAGAGAGCGCTTAAAGATTTATTTATAATGCAAAGTCCAGTTAAAAAGGTTCTTGATTTAAGTGCGTTATTCAAAAAGATTATTATCGTAAGGTCCTAACCAGAAGTGTCCAGTGATTTCCAGACTTGTTCATGGGTATAAGTATTTTAGAAATCTGGGTAAAGTTCTCTCCTGACCAAAGCAAGCGAGTGCTGGAATGTCGCTTTACCATTTCAGCCATAGTTGTGTCTGCTACAAAAATATCTCTGTGGATTAAGGTCAGGCGCCACAGAACTGCTTCGATAACCTTTGAAAAAATGAAAAAGGAGAGCATTTCATGGAGGAAAGTTGTATGAAGAGAAGCCATCAAAAAGAAAACCTTCCGAGGAATAGCCGATCCACGCGGCAGCCAAGGAAGAGGAAACATGAAGACACCATCAGCGCTATCCAGTTCAAGGAGCAAAAAACTGAAACCTCCATTTTAAAACTGGAGAGACACTTACAACAAAAGACTTGCCCTAATTCGCTTCAATACAAACAAACAAAAAACAAACCAAAAAAACTACAGGCAAAATATTGCCTTTTGTGACAGCATACCACCCAGGGGTTAAAAATTTAAAACAAATACTGATGCAAGAATGGAACCTCATCCAAAATCAGCCACTGCTGAAAACAATTTACAAAACGCCTCCGATTATATCATACAAAAGAGGTAAATCGCTCAAAGACATACTCGTCAGAGCGAAGCTTTAATTAAAGGCTTTTGCGTCGCAAACGTAAAACCACACAGGGGAGTCTGTGTAGGCCTGTCTATGACCCTTTCAATCAATGAAATATAAATAGGTAGTTCAGACGCAGCTTCTCGCAAATCGCGTAAGACTGCCTTTGGAGAAATTTACCATAAACTCTGAAAGACGGCGATTCTTCTCAATTAAATTATCCCTGAATTAGGAGAGTCAGGATAGGAAACCGGGATCTGTGCACTTTAAAACACTGAGAGATTATATACCTGTTTGAGAAAATCTGTTGTGGTTTTTCTCTTTTGAATGGCTTTCTGTAAGTACATAACACGTGGAGTTCAATGCCTGAAATGAAACTAACAGATCATCCATCTCTGCTCTGTTTCCCTCGAAATATCCAAAACAATAATTGCCTTCAACAGAAAAGCCATTGAGATGTTCTTTCAAAAAGTCGATCTCTAAATCTCTTAACATTGTTGGCTTTTGGTCTTCATCCATGGCAAGTTCCTGCCAAATTTGATTGACATTTTTGACAACCAGAAATCATGATACTTTTTTTTCGTCACGCACGTCACGCAGCTAGCTACAAACCATATATATAATTATTCTTGGTGCCTTTCCAAATGCCACTGACTCCCTCTCCGAAGCCTCCATTGTTTATTAAAGCAGTAAAAGATATGAGTTCAATCAACACTTTTGAAAAATTGCTTAAACTGTGAAGTAAACTGTTAACATTTCGGCTTTACAACACGATTGTCTCTGGAACAACAAATTATATGTCTCTATATGAAGTATAAAAGCTGTTTCACCGCTGACCGCTCATATTTGGGTCGTTTTTTCTATCCCCGCTCGTCGCCCGTGATTTAGTAACTCCCAACGAAATCGGGTCAGATGAAATAAAACAAAAGAAATAATGCAGATATATTTTCTAATAAGGTAAAGATAACTTTCACAAGGATTTTGGAGTAATCGTTCATTAACAAGAAGGATTTTTATTCATTTCGCAAAATAGTAATTTTAGGAGAGTTACTATTTTGCGAAATGGACCATTTTCACCCCTGCAGTGACAACGTGACCTCTTTCATGTCACGAGAATACATCTAAACATTACAAATTAGTAAATCAACGAACATTTTGGCCTCCTCTCATTTCTTAAACCGTATTAAAATGTATTTCGCAAAATAGTAATTTTAGGAGAGTTACTATTTTGCGAAATGGACTATTTTCACCCTGAGGTGACAACGTGACCTTTTTCATGTCATAAAAATACATTTAAACATTACAAATTAGTATATCACCGAACATTTTGGCCTCCTCTTATTTCTTAAACCGTATTAAAATGTATTTCGCAAAATAGTAATTTTAGGAGAGTTACTATTTTGCGAAATGGACTATTTTCACCCCTGCGGTGACAACGTGACCTCTTTCACGTCACGAAAATACATTTAAACATAACAAATTAGTATATCACCGAACATTTTGGCCTCCTTTTATTTCTTAAACTATTTTGCGAAATGGACTATTTTCACCCCTGCGGTGACAACGTGACCTCTTTCATGTCACAAAAATACATTTAAACATTACAAATTAGTATATCACCGAACATCTTGGCCTCCTCTTATTTCTTAAACCGTTTCAAAATTTATTTCGCAAAATAGTAATTTTAGGAGAGTTACTATTTTGCGAAATGGACTATTTTTACCCCTCAATAACTTTCTTTTCGGGTCACAAAAATACGCTTAAACATTTCATTATAGTATATTCTCGAAGGGTTCGGTCACCTCCTCTTTCTCTATCCAGATATAATTAATTTCTCAAAGTAGTAATGTCAGAAAAATTACTGTTTTGCGTAATAGCTAGGCTATTTTCACACAGCGGTAACGATGTCGTTATTCTCGTGTCATACAATAGGTTTTCGGTAAGTTTCAATTTAAAGCACTATCAAATCTCAAAAGGTCTAAGCTATCTTCACCTATATAAACGTCTTCTAAGTTTATTTCGCGAGGCAGTAATTTTGGAAGAATTACTGTTTTGCAAAATGGACCATAAATGATTTAAATGCCGCCTGAGAAAACTGACTCGTGACAGATTGGGTTTACAGGTCTCACCTTTCCTTGTACGTAAGTGTTTTAATTAGCTGTGGTCTGTACTTCTTCACTGCCAAGCAACAAGGCGGTGTTTTCCTTTCCTCAGCTTCAAATGATTAAGTAAGAGCCAATTAATAACTCCATCTCAATAAACATGCAACAAGAGGTTTGGGCTAACAGGTTCATTTAATCAAAATCGACAACTGTGTAGTACCGTATTGCGTGACGCCGAAACCAAGTCAAGAGAGCCCCGCTGAAGGCCCAAACCGAGGTTGTGTCCAATTAATGACATGGGAGGGAGCGGAAAGTAAGAGGTAAAAGCTGTTTTTACTAGCGACGGAGCTATTCTAGGGGGAAGTTGGCATGTTCTCCTGAGAGATTTGAAAGACTCGTTTCGTGCGTTTTGAAGGGTGTGCACTGTTTCGGTGCAAAACCAACATGACAGTTTTCCAGTGGCGGCTAAACATGTTTAGACTCTCCGTCTCGTATAGAGAACAGAAGCATATCCATGCCTAAATAGTCGTCCAGCAGTTTTATAATCGCAAGTAATACAGTTACTTTGCTTCAAAATTTTTAATAAAAATAATATACATGGCAAAGTTACGCGCTTCTGATTACACCCCCGTCGCACACCTCTTCCTTACGAGCAAGAGATCGTGTTTCGCATTTGCGCAAGTTCCACGTGCTGCAAGAAGTTCACTTTGTGCTCGCTTTGTGTGCTGCTAAATCAGGCAAAATTATGGCTTTTAAATTTCCTGTTCTTAAGCCCAAGACCATCGACTGTTCAGGTCTTCCAGTTCATGATTTCAAGTGTTTGACAAACAAGGAAATCATTGGTAAGGGCGCTTATGGTGCTGTGTTCACTGCTAACTGGCAGACTGTTCCTGATGCGGGTGGGAAATCGGCCGCTGCGGAGAAAGTCGTCGTTAAGAAATTGCTCGGCGAGGACATATTGGATAAGAAAACGTTTGTAAAGGAAGCAAGAATCATTCAAGAGTTGAAACATCCAAACATTGTGAAGTTCAAGGGAATCTGCAACAATCCCTTCGCCCTTATTCTCGAGTTCCCGCCCGCCGAGTGTAAATAATCCATTTCGCAAAATAAACATTTTTCGGAATTACTACATTCAATTAGTTTAGAAATTACTACATTAAAGAGGAGGTGACCAAGATCTTTGAGACCTTTGACCAAGATCTTTGAGAATATACTATAATGTAATGTTTAAATGTATTTTCGTGACATGAAAGAGGTCAAGCAAAATAGCAACTCTCTATTATTTTGCGAAATATATTTTAATACGGTTTAAGAAATGAGAGGAGGCCAAAATGTTCGGTGATATACTAATTTGTAATGTTTAAATGTATTTTCGTGACGTGAAAGAGGTCACGTTGTCACTGCAGGGTGAAAATAGTCCATTTCGCAAAATAGTAACTCTCCTAAAATTACTATTTTGCGAAATACATTTTAATATGGTTTAAGAAATAAGAAGAGGCCAAAATCTTCGTTGATATACTAATTTTTAATGTTTAAATATATTTTTATGACATAAAAGAGGTTACGTTAGTCACCGCTGGGTAAAAATTGTCCATTTCGCAAAATAGTAACTCTCCTAAAATTACTATTTTGCGAAATACATTTTAATACGGTTTAAGAAATAAGAGGAGGCCAAAATGTTTGGTGATATACTAATTTGTAATGTTTAAATGTATTTTTGTGACATGGAAGAGGTCACGTTGTCACCGCAGGGTGAAAAATTCCATTTCGCAAAATAGTAACGCTCCTAAAATTACTATTTTGCGAAATGAATAAAAATCCTTCTTGTTAATGAACGATTACTCCAAATTCCTTGTGAAAGTTTTCTTTACCTTGTTAGAAAATATATCTGCATTATTCCTTTAGTTTTGTTCTATCTCACCTGATTTCGTTTCGTTTCGTTTCGCAAAATAGTATAAGCCGTGTGTAGCTAAGAATTGGCAACAGCGTTCAGACGAATTGAGATAAGCATTGACCACATCACCCGGCCACAGTCCTCATATATTCTTACGATAATCGTTTACCCCAACAGGAAAGAGGAAACTGCAAAGGACTGTCAGCAGCATTGAAAAAGAAATAAAATGGCATGCCTCAAAGAATCATTTGTTATAAAAGATAGTGATCGTAATTTCACATTTTGCATTTCTCAAGTTCTTTGTTTACCTTGAGTGACATTTAAATAAAACCAAGTGCTGTAAGGACATGTCTTCCTGACTATCAAAGTTAGAGATGTTTACTCCATATCTGAATCTCCTTTGTAATTAAGATTTGTAGATTACTATTGATTCGATCAATATTGTATACATTGTGTGCATCAAAATTTGTGTACATTACAAATTCACGGAAAATGGGTTTGTTGGGTGACGGTTTGGTTAGGGTCAGTCGCTGAAATAAAGAATTTTTGAGTCTCTACAAATATTTTATCGATCCAGAACTGAGCTCATTTGTAAGAAGTTGTAGACGGTTATCCTTCTTTTCCTCTAATTTGATTGGTTATTCAAAACAAGCCTTGAAATCTACTTTGTAGATCTTTGTTTGTTTCTCATTAGCTGCATGGGAAAAGGATGCGATTGGAGCAAAAAAATTGGTGCGATTCAGTGATAAATCGCACTTGATGAGAGGCAATCAGATTGCAAGAACCACAGGTGATTTCAAAATTAAATATATAGAACTAGTCCTGGCGTGCTGGTTAGCTGTTACTGTCCTTGACTAAAGAGATTGTCCTCAAAATTTCACGTTTGCTCTCGAAGCTTGGCCTCGCCGCCAAATATCAGTTCATTTTTCGGACACGTGCACTCTCTTAACCGTAGACACTATCATCCGACTTACTAGCCACCTGAAGGGGTTTGCGCCAAATGGAGGCTATTGTTTCCCTCTCGTCTGGGAACCAAGCCTCTGCGCGTGCAATGAACGCGTGCTCTGAATCCGCCTTTTGAATTGCGTTTGCATCATACTTAAACGGACAATAATTTCATCAAAACACAGATTCGTCTGCGGCAAATTTAACATGGGTGATTTCTCTTATAAATTGTTTCCAAGTGAGTCGTAGTCCAATTATCGTAACTTATTTTCCACGGCTGAGGTAAAGAACCAGGAAATGGAGAAATTGAATGAGTCAGCAACTGAGAGGGAGGAAGGATGGCGCAAGCTAACTAACGAGCAGGTCATGTTACATATATTCAAAATTAACTTATTTATCAGCAAGATTGTTGCTGAAATCGAAGTTAAATTGGAACTTCTTACCGTCAAATCATCAGCCCACGACTGGTGCAATTTGGTTTCACGTCTCCGCAGAGAACTTGGAAAGCTCATCGATTGCTTTCCCCCATATTCCTCAGTGAATTACAACTCGTCGGAGGAAAGGCAAACTAAATATATTCTGGAAGACTTTAAGGAGTTTAACAAAAGAAAAAACTATCAAGAAGAATATTTGAAACTAAGAGCGCAGATTTTGGTCTCTGAAAAATTCCTTGTCGAGAATGCTCCCTCAAAAAGAGAAAACGAAGAATTGAAAAACCAGGTTCACCACTTAAGATCTCAGATCGATTTCTACCAGTCGCGTATTAAGGAACTAAAGACTTCTATCAGATGTGTCACTAGCGAAATAGTCAGAGAGAAGAAAGCCGTGCAGCGCGAGGAATCACTCATGGAAACCCAAAAGGCGAACGCAATACAGAGGTTGGAGGAACTGCGTCTCACTTTGCGTAAGAAAGAGGAACTGTTGAAGGAAACTGCCGAGCAGAGACAAAGTGATAAGTGCGCTTTACAAAATGAGAAAAAAGAAAATGAAAGGCTAGTTCGCACTTTAAATTTTCACATAGAAGAACAAAGAGTTCTTAAAGATAAAGTTGGAAAAGGTGTTAAAGGAATCATGTAACCAAATATATGAAATTATGCGGTTGGACTTTCCATTTGTTTTAGATATTGCCTTCTTTTCACCTTTCTTACTCTTGCAAGAGTTTTCCTTCCTCCTGAAAATTGTTCTTGCGTACACGTTGAAGTGATAACACGTAGCTAACGGAAGATAACCACCTCTTTGATCAAACCAGCCCCAAGGCGCATATCATTACATACGCAGACGTTACACAACCTTCCCTAAATGACGAAACTTCTTCAAGACCTATTTCTTTTATAAGTAGGTTTCAAATGGAAAAAAGACTGCTAAGGTTAATCTCAATCTCCGTTGCGTTCCAAAGTAGAGATTTAGATGGTAAAGTTTAAAACGGATTGGTAAACGAAAAGTATTTAAAAAATATGGATGTCGACGGCAAATATACAGCATTAAAAAAACTGGGGTTTTAAGGCCAAGAACCAAAATCATTTTACCAGGTGTGGGTGATCGATAACCCGTGTTAGCTGCTGAGACCATTTGAGCTGTGATTTAACCGTGCACCAAATACTTAAAATTACTCGTTCCCAGACCAATATAGAACAACAGGTACCGACAAAATGGAAGTTCATCAGACAAACAATAACACCAGCCATGCACTGTCAATTTCTCTTCTCAGCAAACCCTATCATATTTATTACAGAAAACCGGGTAATAGCACACATCCAAAACTATTTTTAAATATACTATTTAACCTTTATATGAAATTATGAACTTTAATAATACTATAACGGTCAGCCTCGCAGTAACCAACTTCTGTGAATATCCTCATATAAACCAAGTATATGTAAACAAATAAAAAACCAAAACCATAAATTCAAAAGTCTTCACGTTAAAAAAGGGATGAACACTTGAGTTTAGTTCCTTCTGAAGGCAATACAAAATTTTCTGGAGAAATAAATATACAAATTAACGGTATCTCTGCTGAAATGTGCATAGGGAACATCTACGCAAAAGGAATTTCGATGTGACTCTTCAGTTACCGATTATTCTACTGGCCTAAATTAACTTAATTTTCCAAGCTGTGCTTTTTTAAACAATTCACTTGCAGTGAATATCATGGAATCAATAATTCCTGCCACGGTAAAAGTTCCTCCCACGATAGCACAAACCTGAAAAGAACCAAACAGAGTCGTTTGGAATAAACTCTGGTGAACAAAAATACTGAACGAATACATGTACGTGCAGCTGAGTGGAGGCTTGTTCTAAAAATTCTACGACATACAGCTGTAGTGGGAAGGGACGACACACCTCGGTACTACTCGAGATTTTAATATTGGAAAGTTGTAAACTGGTCCTGTTGTGCCAATTTAAGCCATTGCGTTCACATATATATGTACGAATCTGTACAAAAAGCGTGTTTCACCTCAATTTCTGAGGCGCGGAGAGGGGGGTACAGAGGGAGGTGGTTAGGGAATTGATCTCTTCACTTACATTGTAGTGTGCTCCTATTTTTCAAGAAGTACTGTACAAAAGAGGACAGGCGAATACCTACGATAGCCCTCGTTCAATATGGACGCTACATAACTGCACATAAGGTGAATGAGAAGGTGAATTAAAGAGAACAAAGGTACGCTAACAGGAGAGCAACTAATTAACCACATATAAGGCATAACTTTACCAATACAAATTTCTGAATGATATTAGCTAGAAGTGCCAGAGAAGAGTTGACGAGCGACAACTGTTTAACCATACCGTAGTGATAAAATGATAAAGCGGTTTGCGTCTCTCCACGTATTTGACAGTAATTGGGCTTAAATCATAGCGAAACCAAATTGCTGAAATGATATGAAAACGAGAAAACTATTTATTAATCTTGGAAAATAAAACTTCGCTGCACAAAATGCTAATTGAAACCAATGAATAAAAGGAGTAAGTTTCCAAAGAAACAGTGGTGTTGCGTCTCTGGGAGAGTATAGCAAGGTAATTTAGTGTTATCAACTAAGTTGATAACGTATTTTGGCCACCTTAATGAGTTTAAAAGCTGATGTTTCGAGAAAACCGTCGATCCTTACAGGGACAAGCCCTGTTTACGCTAACAACCCAATACATAACTAATATCCTACCTGGCAAAATCCGGCCGCCATGTCCATAAGCTACATAATCCTAAAGAAAAATAATACAAATAGTAACATTTCATACCAATTATCAGGAACAAAAAGTGGGAAGTAGACTGAAGTTACGAGAAAATAACCTTATAAGCCCAGGTATATTGATATGTGAAGGTCGTAGTTCCATCCAGTTTCTCGTAAATTGTAGGTACAATCTTCAATACATAGTCATGCGAAGACAAACCTGTAAAACAACGGCATCTATTTTAATACATGTATGTGTGTACACTACAACGTAAGAGTGAAACTGCTCTGAGCCATCTTGCTGAGACAAGTTTGGCAACTAAACTTTGGGAAAAAAAAGTTTTTGAAAAGAGATTGAAAAAAATCCCAAGTAGAGTCTCGAGAAAGTTGCTTTATTATGGTATGATCGCTTTTACTCACTATTGACATCTTCTTTATTTCGTCCTCTAAGAGCCACAAAAGCACCAGGAAGTTTATCCTGTGTTGGAAAATACATACAAGTCAGATAAAGACTAGCAATTGCAACAGCAATTTGCTTTTTATTCCTCACAAGTACTGTACAAAAACTATTACAGCAGTGAACCTCAGTATTACCTTAATTTCTGATCCAAAATTAAGAGAGTTGATATGATGCGCCATGTCTGGATTATCTGGCTGTGAAAGACACAATAGAAATCATTTTATAAAATTTGCTTCAGTCAGGGTATAAGGCAGTCTCATTCACAGCCGTTGTTTGGTCTCATCAGGCACCATGCTCTTTTCCCTGATTGGGGAGAGAGCATGCTGTGTACAAGTTAACAAGGATTTAAGAAGAATAACTAATGAGAACCAAAGCAGTCACCTGTGCACCTGCTCCATGGGTGGACACGTGGAAATTACCAGGAACCTCGAGGAAAGAAAAATCCCGAGTTAGAAAGGATTGTCACACTGCCCTCTTACCCCAAGATCTGTACTATGCAAGTCATGTTTGAGAGTAACCCCATGCTGATACCAATCAATAAAGATAATTGTTCATTAGTTTGAGTTACAAATCCTTTATGTTTTGAGGTTATCTGTTTGAAAGCAATAGAGTCTATCATACCTTGTTTATGTTGAACTTGCAGGAGAAAACACATCCTTCTGAAACCCAAGTTTCACAATATCACTGTATGTATGTGGGAATCGTTTTTACAAAAGCCTTACATCGGTGGATGAGCAAAAATATCTGTTGCAGGAAAACTTGGATAAACTGTACACAATGTGATGCAAGTAGTGTCTGTAAGTACAAACAAGTGTATTGTGCATGTACCTCCGTGATTCATTTCTTCAGTGTGGGTATTCTCCTGAAAACCAACCTCATGCCTGTTGATAAATATTACAATAATTTACAGCCATGACCAACACGCTACTTGTGCTTAATATATAGAGAATAATACATGGGCACGTGTAGATATGGAATTTCTCTTCAAGTGTTTGACTCGATAGCTCATGCGTGAGCACAGCAAATGAGTGAGATGTTGAGTTGAACATGAGAAGAAAAATTCCATATCTATAAGCAACCATGTATTGTTTTTTTATCATATAAACACAATAGCCCTTTAGTGACAAGAAAAGCTGACTTGACATTAATGAATGAATGAAAATGAATGAATCGACAATTGCAGAATAACAATCATCGAGTGAGTTGACACTAACTCTTAAGATGGAAAAATGCATCAAATCATGATTACAAAAACAACAATGTTGGTAATTTTCAATTCACAAAATTCTCATTTATTGACTTTGTTCTTATCAACAGTAGAAGTCTTTCAGGTAAACGGCCAAAAATCAGCAAGTGGCAAATCTTCCAATTGTCAATTTTCATTCTCAGCCAAGAGAAATGCAAACACCAAAGCCACTGAATACGTAACTTTCAGTTTTTCTTTTATTGTATTGGTTTTCTTCCCCTTCTAGGAAAGTTGGAACCTCACTGTCTGTCAGCAATATAAGATTTTTAATGTTTTAGCTGCCATAATTCGAGAAAGTTCAGACAAACAACTTGTATTGAGAATCATGAAGGCTTTGTTGTTCATTCATCAACCTGACCCAGTGATGCCAAAGGCAAGTGACGTGTCAGCAGCTGATTGGCTATATTAACACACGTGAAAAAAAATACCACATTTTTTCATGTGTTGTTATGGCTTTTCTCAGGGCCAGAAATCCCTGTATAACACCACAGTTTATGTGATAAATAAAGTTCATAACCATTATTTTGCAACCTCTATAGTATTAAGATAATGCAGTAACTAAAACTGTTGTTATCAAAATTATCATTATTATTTTAATTATCATTTTTATTATCATCAATATCCTTATTATTTTGCCTAACATACCGTCCCATTTCATCCTGGATATCCAGACCAAGATCTGAAAAATGGAGGTCAAAGTTTGCATAATTTTAAAGTAACAATAATGAAATGAATGATTAACAATTATTCATCAAAATGGAGGTAAATATCCACCACTTTTAATGACACTGAGGTTACCAGTTCTGGTATACATCACACACATGGCAAAAAAATTAGTTTATGTCTCTCAATATACTGCATAATGAGCAGACATTTAACTCTTGACACACTATTTTGTCTCATCAACTGCTGGGGATGAATAGTACTTGCTTTTTACTTACAAATTTGCCAATCAACACACACAAAAAGCCCATTCAATTGAGTGGTATATACCAATTGATTATATCCTGGACCAAAAATTTAAAATAAACACAAGAGCATAAATCTTTGTTATTATATAGTTGGCAAAATTTCCATATACAGGAGGAAGGTGCATTTCCCTTTCAACAATTTTAACCATTGGCTTCCACTTTTGAAATAAATATCAATTTGATGGATTATTAGTCATTAAATTTTTTTCTAGAAATGCAGTAAAAGGCCACAATCAGGAGGGTTTTCTTGTTTCATAAGCCTTTTCCATCTGGGAAGTAGGTAGACTATCTGTCTTTTTCTCTTTTCCTCTCCCTTCCCCTCCCCTCACTATTCACTTTAACCCAAAATCTAACATGGCCACCTGATCACAAATGGTGAGCTTATAATGGCAGCAGGTGGATAGACCAAAGGTCTAAGCCTAAAATGCTGACTTGCCCTCTCTAATGAGATGCCTACATTTTGTTATTTTAACATTTAGTCAATATCTCAAAAAGACAAAGCATTAATAAGTGTCACATCAGGGGAGGCTGGCAGAGGGTTTATACATGATGCATGATTCAACCCAAAATCAACATGTGAATAGTAAAGAAAGGCAAGGTAAGGTGAGATTTGAAGATTTCTCTTATAAATACAAAACAGTATATAGTCACTAAAATATATTAGGTGACAACCCAAAGTACTCACGTTCACACTTCATCCTTGGCAAAGTTATGTTCAATTTCACATCCAATCGGTCATTTTCTGTTGGGTTATCTACAAACAACTCACTAACACTGAAGAAAAACAAGAAAAAATCCCCCTTGAAAATTAAAAGAATTTTATGCAAAGCAACATGTAAAAGCTGTAGTAATGGTAAACTGCAGCTAATTAAGGAAAATACCAGATAAAAGATCAAGGATACCTGATCTACTATCCCTTCAATGCATGCACTATTATCTTTTTTAAGCCAGATTTGAAATGCATTTTTTCTTTTAAAATCATTTTCAAGGATATACAAATCAATAATAAAGAAAAATCAAGACGACAAATTTCCATAAATAACAACTCAGTAAGGTATGACTTCAACCATTTTACTGTCATCTAATTATTAATTGAAAAAATTAAAATTTTTCATTGGCACTTACATTTCTGTGTTGATAAAGCTGTAAAATTCTGATAACAACAAAAATACTATAAACAGACAACTGCATATTGAGACTGTTGAGTAAAAAATAGTAGAAGGGTTAGGCTGCTGCAGCTATAACAGCAGTAAAAAGAAACTATTCATCTTGAATACTCAACATAATTCATATTACTTTCAAGCTGTCAACACCTTGGCCACAGTCAAATTTTGAAGATAATCTACATGTACATTTCTGAATGTGCTCTGTTCAACTTTCTAGAAATTTCACACAATATTGTTCTCAGTTTTGTTCCTCCAGTAAGTCTTTCTCTAGTAAGTTCATTTTAACTCAGCGTGCTTTTGAATTAGAACATCTTATCTCCAAGGGACACTAGTCAATGACTTAATCATCAACTGAAAAAATTGTGTACATATTTGTTCTTTCCAATGTTAAAAAACTAAGAAAATCATGCCACTGTACAGTATATTCCAAATGAGTTGTTGATATTTAACATAAGAAGAGAGATCTGACAGCATGAGACCTAAATATTTTCATTTGTTTCTGAATACATACAGTACATTGATAGTGCAAATGCGCAAAGAGAGTCATGTTAAAGTGTTACTCATGATGACATTCCTTAGCATAATTCTTGAAACAGTTCCATTTCAGACCCCCTCCCCTCCCCATCTATGTTGGTTACAAGAAACTTGTGGGCCTTGCAGAAAATTTAACAAAGAGAAGGGAGCTGAGTATTCTAGTATGAGTATTGGAAAAAAAAACTTACTGACTGCCCCTGTCAATGTGGGTTCTGTTAAATCCTTGGGAACTTTTCTATAAACATCAAACCTGTAAGAAACAAAAACACCAGCTAGGAAATAACACACTGTTTCATGTACATGTGACCTTCCTGTAACACCTGGCTTAGAGGACCCTCTCCTTGGCCCTGAAGACAAACTAACCAAATTTTTCTTGCCTTTATTGTCGGACCCCACATGACTGCTAAAGGGCTCTTGGCTTTCAAGCTTTCATTATAAAATATTTACATTTGTATTTATGTACTTCTGATTAAATATGACTGTCAAACCTTAAAACAAAGAGAAAATAGGACACTTAGAATTTTATTCAAAATCATTTCCGAATGTAATAAGCTGAGAATGATCTATGTTTATTTCATTCAAAATAAGTACTAAACAAAGCCCTTGCCTGTCTAATTTTAAGATTGCAAATATAGCACAGTACAGGCCAAATTACTCTGTTCTTCTTTTTTGCTGAGGGAATCCTCATATTCGACGCGGAAGCTTTGAAAATGGACTTACAATAAGGTAGACAAACCATCTTTAATCTTTTATAATAAATTAATATCAAATATTCTGAATTAAATTTTTTATGTCTCAAATAACTGAATGTTAAAATGAGGAAAACCAGGTCAATGGAATCAGATATCCTGTTTCTGTATCTGACGCAAGGCGAGTTTAGCTTCCCGATTAATTTTGAGGGTACACGGTCCTGGTTTTCTTTCCTCAGCCGCCAAAAGTACACCAGCAAACGTGTTTTGACACGTGTGCATCACTTTAGAGTTGTGGAGAATTTTTTATTTTACCAATCGAAACTATCAAGTATACAGATCAAGCTTATCACTCATTAGAACTTCTTACCTTCTAACATCAAACTGCATATTTCCCCGGTGAAATTAGACCACTCAATCGTAAAAATCGCCACACACGGAACCGTGAACGACGGCTAATCGATAATATTTACCCCAGTGGCAATTTTTTTGCCGCCATTTATAGTTTTCCACGTAGTGAATATTGATTGGCTGAAAACATATACTTACCAACCTTCCGCTCTTGCGCGCTTGAAATGATAGTAATTGGCTTGGTAACTAGTGCTCTTCGTTTGCGTGGCAAGCCGCCGAAAAAAAAAATTCTTATCATTTAATTTTCCGCCATAAGAGGAAGAGTATGAGACTATTATAGTGAATATTTTCATTCGATGAAAAATATTTTTTTTAGTAGAAAAATATTTCATTCGATTGATAAAATCACGTGGCAGACTAAGGACTGGTCAAACAGCACAGACATGGCGACGGAAGAGTTCGGGAGAGAAGACCGAAGAGTCGACTGAGGTTACGTTAGTTTTTCACAGCCGTTTCCCATCAGCTTGACATGTGCGAGTAAAATGGTTCGAAGGTTAACTCGGATTAGATCAAGCCACTGTACTCACACATGTCAAGCTGATGAGCAAATAGCTGGGAAAACCTAACAAAGCACCGGTCGACTCTTTGGTGTGCTCTTCCGTCGTCATGTTTGTGCTTAGCGACCAGGCCTAAGCCAAGCACTTATAAAATTTTATAGAATAAGGATATTTTTTAACGCATGAATAAATTTTTTAGCGAATAAGAATATATTTTTATTAAATTTTGCTACATTTCGGCCACCATGACATGCCCCTAACTCCACAAAAGCGGTTCTAGAAATTTGTAAATGCATTATTAATTCTCCACACACAAGTGACTGGCAGTAATTGAACTAGATAAAATTGAAATTTCAGTGTGGGGAAAATACCGTAACAAGGCTTTTTAAAGATACTTTTGGTAACAAACAGTTCCTGCGGGATTTTTTTCGAAGTATTTAAAAATCTCGGGAATAGTTTCATTCACTGAAAATGCAAAGAAAACATTTTCTCGATGATGCCCTCACCGGCATTCGTCCTTTGACAAATCGTGTAATCGTCAAGAAACTTGAGACAGTTCAGGACAAGAGTGAGGAGTCAGTCGATCTTTCAATTCTTTCTCTGATAGAAAAGTCGCGATAATGGTCCCCAATAAAAGCCTTTAAAGAAGACTCCTTCATTGGTTTCCAAGGTTTCTGGTCTACGTTTTCAAGAATGCTGTCCAGAAACGCTGGATGCTGAGTGAGTTCTCACTATATCGTAGGAGGCTGTTTAGCTCAGAAGATGCCCAAAAAACGTTGACATCGAGAGCTATTTCTGGTGTGCAGCTGCCTATCATAGACTATCAGCGGATGCCATAACCCTTGACGCTTTAACTAAAGCGGAATAAGAAAGAAAATGTTAATTCCGAGAAATTCGAGACAAATGCCACAATGTCCATTCTTTGTGACGGTTACTTTATTTAAAGAAAAGTTGAACATTGGTTGCTCTCAAGAGATTCCATCGTGATCTCTTGTTGCTCTTGATAATTAATGTCAAATAGATGGTCTTTGCACTGCGAAAAATTATAAATGGTCAATGGCAATTACAATACAAGCAATAGTAGGATTTTCCTCATAATTTATTCAAACATATTTGGGCGCCATTCATCTGTGTTTGGTCAAGTACCTTATAATATATGATTAATATAACTTACATCTTTTCAAATTTACATCTTCAAATTTTTAAATTCATAAATAAATATATCGTACACATATTTCAAGTATTTCTTCTTTTAAGTCTGTTTTTGACAAAATTCGGCTTACTTATATTCTTGCCACCATAAAGTATAAGCCTGTTTTATTTTATCTACTACCTGGGTAATATGAAACAAACTGTTTTTTCATTAATGCATAAGTACAAAAATATTCTTCATCAAAGTGGAAGAGAAAACGGTTTATTATTTTGTTTAATATTATTCTTTCCACTTCAATTTCGTCCTAGGCTTTATTTTTTAAAGCGTACAGTGACGATAATTTTACCACATGCAATTCATGAGATAAACTATTGTGTAAACCATAAATAATTAGACTGTGGAGAAAACGATGCGTCCTGTGAGAAAAGAGCATAACGGTTTTTTTTTTTGGCTGATATAATGGATATGGGTACATTTAATATAATTCAGATACACTCTCCATTTGTTCTATACAAAAATCAGATTTAGTTGAACAAAAGAATTTGTCACTTTTGACTTCTTGCCTCTAATGCTACTGAGCTACATGGGTGAAGTCACGAGCCCAGGTGAATTCTGTTTGTTACCAGAGGTAGTCATTTCGGATCCACATGGCAACGGAGAAAAACTGAAAAATCCAAAGGGAGTGGTGGGTGTGTGTGTGCTCGATACTCTATTTGTAAGCTGAGTCTCTGATTCCCAGTTAAGCAGTTGCCCCATGAAGTTAAAGTTTGGTGATATAACTGAACGGCGCTTCTTAACGTACTCATAAGCTTCGTCCAACCTGAGTTGATGTCTACTTATAAGATAGGCAAGGCAAATAGTGGCTGATCTTGAGATCCCAGCCTGGCAATGTACTAGTACCCGTCCTTTCGATTTCTTCACTGAATCTGAAATGAGGGGACAAAAGGGAGAACGGTGAATTAAAATACATTTAAAGAATAGACGAGCTAAGTCTTAATGCATTGATTGAAGGAAATCTTCTTATGAATAACATTGATTGAAGGAAATCTTCTTATGAATAACATTGATTGAAGGAAATCTTACCATGGATATTGGCTGTCAATAATTTCATTATTCAAAAGCTTATCAATTGACAAGCTCCGAGATCGCTTTAAGAGATTGATTTTTTATATTGTCTTAATATAAAGGAAGTTCCAGTGATTCTTGTTTTGACCTCTAAAAGACCAGCTCGAACTTTCAGGAGCATGTTAATATTTGTTTAATAAATTTTTTTTGGGAAAGCGTGGATCTTAGAGCCATGAAGTTTCTTTTTATCGATTATACTCACTTTGCGTTTTAAAGAATCTCTTACCTATAAACATCGCTGCCTCCTCAAACCATCGGCCGATATCTGCGGTGTAAGTATCGTCAACCGGAATAGACTTGTAGTCAAATGTATCCTCAAAAAAGTTCGGAATATTACTTGAAACATTGACTATGGCAGTGATACCCAAGTGTTGAAGGAGCTCCTTTTGAGACGAGTGGAATTCGCTTCCAAGATACAGATGTGGTAAGATTTCAACAGGCTCATTTGGCTTGGCTGACACATTTGGGCGCGACTCGGCATAATCCCTGACAGGATCGATCTCGTTTCTCGGGCTGAATCTTTTAAAATCTTTCGTTTTGAGCTTTAATCCGAGAGGACTGGAACATGCTTGTGATGCCGCATGGGGATTTGCAAAGTAGCACATGGAGGGGAAAGACGACGCGAATTTTTCAAATCCTCCTACGAAAAAAAAGGGAAGACAGCAGTCAATAAAATTGGTGCTATAGAAAGTGATCAAAATTTTTTAATGAAATAAAATTAGTTTGACCTGAAGATGAAAATCAAGTAAAGCAATGATCCTCGTAGGTAAGCTGCAATTTAAGCAATTTCTGTTGAAGCCTAAATTTTATCAGGCTCCTTTCAGTCTGTTACTGCCTGAATTGCAGCTCATTGCTTTACTCAATATTGTAAACATTATAAAACATGCTAGGAATCACGAAGACAATAAAGTGACGATTCTTCATGCATCGATGACGTTTCTTCGTGTAATTCTCCATCAACGGTCGTCCTAGGGATTAGACCAAATCAATCTTCACCGAAAGCGGTGACGGTGAAATATCCTCTATCTGCAAATTAGGAGGCCGAACATCACGCACTATCTAGACAGAAAACGTTAAGTTTAGAGTCTAAGAAGATTTGAAAATGTGCTCGTCAGGACTGAAAGATCTGGTATTCGCCTCCGTTATTTAACTACAGAAAAAACTTGGGAAGGAAAAGAAATCAGCTGAGTGTACTGAGTGTACCGTCACAGCTCGTCAAAGAAAACATGTTTGTGCGTGCTTTTAAATACTTTTGAACATCAAATTTTAACTGAAGGAGATACTAACCAATAAGCCCAACATTGCAAGGAAAAATTACCCATTCTATAAAGGAAAACCGCAATGATGTTCGACCTCTTTATCACAAACTCGATTTAAGACTGTTTTCAATTCATAATTTTTTCTATAGGGACCAGCGAGTCACTCTGCTAGTCATACGTGATGTCATTACGTTCATTCATTTACTTTTATTTCAATAACAAAGAAACTCGCTCATTCATGAATTCATGATGAGCAGCACACGTAAACAAGTAGTACACATTGATGACGCTTCGCCTTTGTAGTGGTTCATCATCACAACATTCCCTCGCTTTCATTCAAGCGCGAAATAATCGATATTTCCACTTCCATCGCCCTTCAGTGGGATTGTTCAAAAATAAATAACTCTTTTTGACCTCTCAACCTAAACACCAAGAGCAACAATCAAGTGATAACAGCACATTGACTTTAGGAACACGTGGCTGGCCTAACAATAGTTATCAGAGGCCTTTCAACTGAGTTACAAGAAAGTTCTGAACTATACGCTGACTTAACTTACCTTTAATGAAATATAGAGTCTTGTCTACTCTCTCTCTTCTCAAAAGCATGTGGAGTATCTTCATCGTATTGTCCTTCTCCAAGTCAATCCAATCCTGAGTTCCTTCCCCGTACAAAATTAAAGTCTCTGCGTCCGCAACCCTTCGTTTCAACTCAGGAGATTTGAGTAGACAATCTAACGTTGATGATCCACGATGAAATCTTCTTTTTAAGATAGGAGGGCAGTGAACGTTAAGCGATCCTTTGATGTGGGCGACGTTAAATGATAAGAAGGAACGACAGTCAATAACTATACATTTCTGACTCAGAGAACTGGTCATGTTTACAAAAGTGAGTGGGGCAAGGGGCCATACAGAGTCATTCTCATCCATTGCAACCATACTCTTTGACGCCGCAATGATTGATTAATAAGCTCCTTAATTCTTCTTTCCTGAAATCAAACCAGATACGAACTGTTACTTGACGATGAAAATCTTACTGATGTTTTCCCTTGCGGGGCTTCAGTATCACATGAACCTTTTTCAGGTTCACGCTTTATATTCTCTCAATTCCGCGCACCCTGTTCCCGAATTGCTAATTGCTATTTTTAACCCAGGTGACGTCATTTCAAGGCGTTTTGTTAACGTCGTGTCGCGCCTCACGAGTTTTGTCTAAGCCTATTATATATCGTCTTTAGTCGAAGAAACCAATACAATGCTGACAGGTAAACAATACCAAAACAATAGTTATTTCATTCCAGTGATGTCAGAAATGTTATTAGGGTCTCAGGAAATTGCAAAGATCTACGTATGCCAATTTTTTTACCCAACTGGTGTTTTGATTGAAGAGGAGCAGGAGAGATTAAGAGGGTGATTCTGTGTTTTTCATCTAGTCCAATTGATACTTGAATATTCTCTATCTGACTCGGGGTAAGGTGAAAAAAATCGTTAGTTGTAAGACAAAATTATTTGGAAGGAGGTATGCCTGATGACGTCTTCCACCAAACCTTTTCTCATCGCTATCGCATTTCACGTCCAAACTCATTTGAATTTTGTTATCACATTTCAGGTCCAAACATGGCTGTTAAAAACAAAACAAACCAGTATTTTAACGAATGTCATGTCTTTTCATATCAGGAGCATTTGTAAAGCCACAATAATCCGCTTTGCGAATCAAAGAGCCATTTGAGTGAACTTGAAGAAAACTGATCAGTGTCACCATTTCTTAATTCGAAAAGGCGAAAAGAAGAAAAGGTGAAAACGAGAAAACAGTTTAATGCGAGAATGTTATTTGAACCAAGAATACGTAGAAATCATACACCACTTCAAATATTCTACTAACCACCAAGCCTCGCCCTAATTCCAGACAACATAGTTTGGTGGGAAACTATATTTGTAACCGGCTGTGCATGTCCGCCCAACGCGTTCCGGATAATATTTGATTTGTTTTCTTAAATTTCACTTGCGATTTCCCCGGACGGCAAACACCGGCAAATAAGAACATTTTGATCGCAATTAATGAGCCAACTGAGAGTCACTGCTTCCTACTTACTCATCGATGTGGAAGGTTCCATCCTAGAAAGCATGTCTTTCTTACAGTTTGCACGCAGCTTCAACCAGTTTTAAAATAGACACTCTAGCGAACCCTTGTCAACATCGCGTGACTGATTCAAGGATATGGTTCATTAGCTGTTACACCCCACTTCCGATCAAGCCAAAAATATTTCTAACATCAATTCATGCCAGCAATTTCTGTCGATCCCTTATAGATTTTACACAAAGGATGATATCACTGCAGAAACGAGAGTCCATATACGGCTTTTAACAAACAACACACTTTCTCAGTCGGTTTTTCTAAGGATTCCTCTCAGTTGAAAGTTCAGTATGTCATAAGTAAAATTGAAAATCTGTTCGCGCACTGATTACAGGTCAATGTCTGTGGCTCGTAAAGTGAAAACTGATATTGCTTTTGTTTTTAGTATGAAACTTTAACGCAAATAGCGGACTCATTCATTAATTAATTATGTCATTCATAAACTGGGAGCAGTTCTCGTGGACAGAACTTCGCAAACTCCTCTTGTGTCACAGCAAATAAAGTACACTTGAGCTTTTTCGCCGCTCGTCTCAAAACAAAATATTAACAGTCCTGAAATTAACTGAACAACAGCATTTCTCCCGGTAAATGGGATGGTAAATCTCTTAGTCCTCGGCAAAAACTGATTCGAATATGGTTGGTGATTTGAACCTGCACGAGATCGATCTGCTTTCTGCAGATCACAACTGAAATGTGGCACGTAATTCGGGATAATTTCTTCTTTCGATGGGTGCTGTGAGAACCACCGAGGGACCAGAAGTTTTTGGATCTTGAACAAAAGTTTCTTCTTCTCCGCTGCGTAAGACGTTAGAGCTGGTCTATGAGTATAAATAATCTGATTAGGGGCATTTAATATCTTTATTTTTGTCACACCTTGACAGTTGCGACAATTTCAACAAAAATTTAGACCTCAAGGGCGCACTAGACAAATTTTTGTTTATTTTGTGAAAAAAAGAATCTGTCACCGGTTTAGCCAGACGAGAGCGCCCAGTAATTTTTTTATCCTATCAAATTTTGTCAAGCCTCACCAATCTTCAAAGGCGCCTTCGTCCTGCCTCGGAGCTGGACAAATTTTCGTCAGCGTGAAAACTGACAGATTTTCAATTTACAAGCCACAATTTAAAGAAATACTTCAATCAAGAAAATTTGATTTTGCTTCAAGCAGAAGGCCGCCAAAATATTTAATATTTACGCGGCAATCAAACAGTCAAGATGGAACTTGCACCCAGGACCTTGGCAAGTTTTTACTCGCTTTTGCCACCGTAGATCACTGAATTCAAAAAATTAGAAAGCTGAGGAAGGACTCAATTGGCCCCCCGGTCATTAGGGATGCATTTTGCAACAAGAGGCATTTGGTGGGAAGAAAAAAAAACAAAAAAAGAAAGAAAGAAAGAGCCAAACACTCCAAATTGGGTGCAGGCTTAGACCAAATACCGGAATTCGAATAAGTCTGTGAGAATATTGTTCAATTTAGAAAGGCAAATCAATAAGGTCACCTTACCACCAAAGAGGACTACTTTTCCTGGTTGAGTGTTACAAATCCAGCTTTGTTTCGAAAAAAAATACTCGTTTTTGACGATTTTTCACCAAAAACAATTAGGTCTAGCTATACTTACTACTGTAATAAATTTCCATGCAAATTCAATTTATATTTTCTTCACGAAAACGAATGGTACATGCATGTGCCTGTTTGTACAAGTTTAACGTAATTTCCTATGGAAAAGCTGCCATCTGAGCAGACTGAAGTAGACTTCCGGCTGTTTAGTCTGTGCACAAGATAAACTTTTTCCTTAGATGTTTTCAATTTGACCTAAGGCACAGCTGCATTTCATTACGATTCGATTTGTTTGCGAACCTATGGGATTTCTCGGATCATCTAGTAATTGCTTACATAAGGAGAAATAAGTATCTATCAGTTCCGTTGTGGAACTAATCCAAGCCCTTATGACCACAAACTTAGCTAGAAATACACAACTACATAAAAATAATTGGTGGTGCAACAGCACCTCTTGCTAACTTAATTGTCAAGAGTACATTCAATAATTAACGTACATCATCGTTTTTAAGGCTCAGTTTTCGAGAGGAGTTGCATCCGTTGAAGCTAAAAATAGTTTTTGATGGCTGGTGCAGTAGTCTGCAGTTGTTAGCTGACCGAACATTAGAATTTCCGAAAGCTAAAGGCTTGGTTATTTTTCCGCAGCAGGTGCGATTCATGCGATTCAAACTTCTTCTGAAAAAAGGCAGAGCTTTCTAAAGAGGGAGTACACATATCCCTTGAGTCATTTAGATTTTAAAATGGAGTAAGTCAATTAGTCCTATTCAGTGTCCAAATATCGACTGAGTGGATTTGAAATTTTAACAAGTCCTAACTGTAACTCTTCTCTCAAAAGAATCGTTTTGATTCTGAAAAGAGCAGTTTTTACTTATTGCAATTTATTACTTTGGATACATTACAGTTGGAAAGGCAAGATTGCTGAATGACCTTGAAAAAAGAGTTAAGTTTTGGTCAACCTACAATGGAAACGTAGTAAATAACATAATTATGATATGATGACATTGAACACATTGCGGTGTATAATCGTCTACGGATCCTCGCCGCTGTAATATGCTAGAAAACATTCTGATAGCGTTATGCTTATTAGTGGCGTAACTATTGGATACAGGCTTCAGAATTTATAAGTCGCTTTATTGTTACAGCACCGTTTCGTATGGGTGACCGTCAACCACATTGATCAGTTAACATTACCCAGTTCATACCATACTCTCTTCCATCGTTTCTTGTAACCATAACGTTAGTTCGATTGGTGTATCGAGGTCCACCCAATATCTTACCGCTGATGTAGAATGGAGAGAGTGCACTGAACAGTCAGTAGCAAATAACACAACAAAATCTGGAACCAGTGAAACATTCCCGCGTTTTTAGCTGTCTTATTTACGACCATGCATTCATTCATTCATTCATTTACTTGTAACACGTGGGAGCCCAATCCAAGCCTGTTTCCATGTTATGCTTCATAATATGAACTCAGAAAAACAAGAGAGACCAAGTAATGTTTTAGCCTTCCAATAATTTCACTGAATCCTACGAATAACCAGTTTTTAATCTCTGTTCTGTTAGAGAGCCACTTGAATACGTATTTGAATCTTTTCGCTTAGCTTCTCAAAGAATTAGAGACAATTCGTACTGATAGTTTCTCAAATGTAAGTCTATAAGTGTTGTAAGAATATTGCAAAAGAAGCGCTCATTTGACCACTAAGTGACAAGACTTGACAGCTGTATGAAAACTTACCTTTCCGCTCTAGATACTCAAATCACTAAACATCATATCCCTTGTGTAGACTGAGGTTCACGCATACACCAAACTGGGACTACAACTAATCACCGGAAGTAGATTTAGCGACTGACCGATACCAGCACAGAGGGAACAAAAGATCACAGGTCCTATCATAAATCACACTGTCCTAATATATTATTCAAGCATTTCAGACTTCAAGGTTTTCAGAGATAATATTTAAAGAAGACACTTTACCTCTGGGTGTTATTTGATGTTTATACATTTTTCTGTGAAATTTAGGCCGTAATGTACTTGTTGGTTCACAAAGAGGCTGTTTTTAATGACTTCATTTTGGAATTTGGATCAACAAGCTATTGGCTGGTACCCGCTGTATAAGTCAAAGAAAGAAGATCATTTGGTGTAAGAATAGCTAACCAGTTATAACATTAGAACTAAAAGGAGGACTATGATAAATATAGATCTGATGATATTCTTTTTAATCTCTATAATAATTTTTGCATCCGGTTTGGAGCACAAGCAGTGATAGTGTTGATAATTTGGCGCTGGAGTTTCACGAACCGGTAATTTGCAGGTATCTCCAGATGTTCCTTCATTTCAAAAGCAACGTTGACTATTCAGTGACTATTGGCCAAAGGAGATAGCAATAACAGTTCTCAAGTCAGGCCTCCAAAATCGTGACCCACTCTGTTCTGCACAGAATACCTCCTTTGTTTCCTCTAGGCCCACGCTACCGCCATGCTTTGGTTAATTGGCTTTTCCTTTGAAGCGGGGGAGGGGGGGCGGCTATGTAACGCAAACTGTGGAACTTTTGATGTTTTAAGGGGGTAGAAATTTAACTACAAGTCTGTTGCCTAGAACGCATAAAGGCACAGTTCAGTGATTTCCCGGGAACTTTGTGCCGGCCGCGGTCGGGCGTCAAACATGGCGGGAAAAACAACCTTGTTGGAAGGTAAAATAACTGTCTCCACAAACTTGGATCAAAATTATCAGAATTATTTCTTCCCATTGACATAGCTTTTGCTACTAGTATAGCTGCTCTGCAAGGTGATAAGAAGTCGCAAATGCTGTTGTTAATTGCGACTACTCAGTATGGTTTCTTCCCCCCCCCCCCGTCCCCTAAACTTCGAGTTGCAAGCGGTCTGCTTGTACCATGTGTCGAGGGCTAACACAACAATCAAAT